AAGACAACACTGGTGAGTGTTCTCTCCTTCCACTATGGGACCAGGGATGGAACTCATGTTGTCAGGCTTGCGTGGCAAGTGCTGAACCCACGGAGCCGCCTTTCTCTGTTTTCCTCTTTAGTTCAGAAGTTTCTTTCTCCATGTGCTGTTCCAAGACTGCTTGCTCTCTGTGCCATTGCCAGACTGCAATGTGTCCAGCACTTCGGTGTCTGCTGTCTTACTTTGTTCATTTGTTGGAGTACACCTTAGAGTAATTCTCTCAGAAGACTGGTTTCAAAAAAGCCAGTGCCATTCAAATGCCTTGCTCTTTTATAGCTAGCAAGTACTTTTCTTTTAAACAGTGTAAAGCCTAGGTAGGCATTATTCTTTTATTATTTAATATGTGCACTGATTAATGTTTTTTCTTCTCTCTCAGCTCTGTGTTTCTGTTTACACCATCTACTTGTTGGACATTAGACTTCCTGGCTTGCTCTCCCTTCACGCATGGATTCACTGTGGACTGAACCCAGGGCAAGCACTCTCCAGTTGAGTCACATCTCCAGCTTTCTCATCTACCACTGGGGTCTCTCAGGTCAGTCTATAAGACCTGAAGAATGCCTGTGAAGAGCGACTCAAAGAACTATTTTATTTACAATCTCTTAATTATTGTCTCTTGGAGTTAAACACTTTCTTCTGATCTCCAAACTTGTTCCTAGGCTCTGTGATCTGTCTCTTCCATTTTGATTCATTTACCCAACCATTGTTTACTATGTGCAATATGTCAGGCAATGGTGTTAACACCGAGAAGCTCAAGTGGCTTTTAAGTCTGTCCTCATTTCCAACACTGAGTATGTACGGCACACTTCCTGGGCTAAGAGGCTGCTCGGCCGCCCCACACCAGTGTCCCTAAAAGCACAATGCCATCAAGGTCACATTATCCTGAACAAAAGAGAGTAAGACAGTAAGATCAGAAGTTCAAGACTAGCCTTAGCTAAATAGTGAGGCCAGTTTAACTAACGCTGCCTCGGCCCACCCATCTACCACAGCCATCTCCACAAGTTCTGATCACGAGAGAAATGCCTGACATGCTCCCCTCCTTCCTCTGATGTCCTCAAAGAAAGGCAGAAAATTAGATTTTTTTTTCTAGTAGACTGACAAAATGGCTCAGTGGTTGGCTCAGTGGTTAAGAGTGCTTGTTGCTCTTGCGGAGAATCCGAGTTTGTTTCCCACCATCTATATCAGGAGGCTCACAACTGCACGCATCTCCAGCTCCAAGGAATCCGATGCCCACTTCTAGCCTTCATGGCACTTGCACACATGTGGCATTTACTCACACTGACACAAAGACAAAGACACAAGTGCACACATACACTTATACATAAAAAAAGAGAAGTCTTAAAAGAAAAAAAAACCCTCTTTTTTCTAGCAGAGAGTATGGATTAAAAATAGTTTCATAGTCATTTCATATGCAAAAAAACCAAGCAGGACAAATTCTCGAATTACAAGAAACAAATAAAACTAGGAACATTTAAAAACACTTCCAAAAGCCTTGTCAACCTCAGTTGCTTAGTCTGGAGCTGTCAATAAGCACCCACCAGCCTTCAGAGGCAGGGACATCCACTCCTTATACTTAGAGATATCAAGCTTCCGGAAGGGTTAGCTGCCTCTCAGTTCTCCACTCTGCAGTCTGCTAATCCAGGATGTAATGTTTCCTGAGCCATCAGCCTTTGCTGATGGCATTGCATAAGAAACCCACTGTAGCTCTTTTCATGGGCTGCAGAGATGACTCAGTCGGTAAACAGCTTGCCTCTCAGGCATGAAGACCTGAGTTGACTCTCTGGCATCCACAAGTAGGGTGTGTGCATATCATCCCCATGCTGGAGAGGTGGAGACAGGCTGGGGCCTGCTGAAGGTGGAATCTGACTAAGGAACAACCTTTGGCCTGCAGACATGCTTACACAAACCATACACGCACACGTCTTTTTCCAGTATCACCAGGCACAATTACCTGGCCTTGTCTACTTTCCTGCCAGTGGCCTATCTGATAAGGAAAATAATTGTCTAGTGATGAGTCAGCTGCCATACAATTATGTTGCACATTGTTTTAATTCAAATAAATATCACGTGACTGGAAGGCACTTGAGAGGGGACCCTGCTAAGCTGTGTGTCTACTACATCTGCAGTCAAGCAAGCTCCAGATTTAGTGTGAATACCTCAACTGTGAACTCCTCAGAGGGTCCACTGATATGTTCAGAGCACAGGTAAGAAAATGAAAGTAGCAAGTCACACGATTTGTAAGAGAGAACACCTCGAAATATAGTGTCACTTTTAAAACACAGAAAACGGGGGAAAAAAAGGACCTCTTTCACTAACAGGCTCTTAACAGCAAGTAAGCCACGGTGACACAGTGCACAGTCCTGTAATCCCTGCACTGTGGAGGCTCAAGCAGAAGGATCCCAGAACAGCCTGGGATACACTGAGAGACCTTGTCTGAAACAAAACCCAATCAAGAACTCACCAAGGCCAGCTGGCCTGGGTCTGAAAAAGCCTGGGATAAAACCCAACTCGCTGAACATAGTGGACAATGAGGACTACTGAGAACCCAAGAACAATGGCAATGGGTTTTTGATCCTACTGCACGTACTGGTTTGTGGGAGCCTAGGCAGTTTGGATGCTCACCTTACTAGACCTGGATGGAGGTGGGAGGTCCTTGGACTTCCCACAGGGCAGGGAACCCTGATTGCTCTTTGAGCTGACTAGGGAGGGGGACTTGATTGGGGGAGGGAGAGGGAAATGGGAGGCGGTGGCGAGGAAGAGACAGAAATCTTTAATAAATTAATTAATTAATTAAAAAAAGAATAAATAAAAAAAACAATCAAACAAAAGCAGCTCCCTGTCAGAGTGGGCAGAAGCAGTCACTATTCTCCCACAGCGTTTGTCTGAAATCACTTAAAAGTATATTTGCCACTTTATAAAAATATTTAAATACAATTTTAAAAAATTTAATTTTTCTCATTTTATTTATATGGTGGGCATTTTGTCTGTGTGTATGTCTGTATACCAAGTGCCGTGCATGCAATGTCAAAGAAGGCCAGAAAAGGGCATCAGATGCCCCTGGAACTAGAGCTACAGAGGGCAGTGAACAACCATGTGGGTGCTGAGAATCAAATCCAGCTCCTTTAGAAGAGCAGCCAATGCTCTTAACTGCGGAGCCATCTCTCCAGGCCCTTTATAATAAATATGTTTAAAAACTACGCCGACAGAAGCAATTTTACTAGAATGAAGAGTTACCTTTGGGGACTCTGTTTTTGTGAGACTCTCTCTAGAGAGCCAAGACTGACTTTGAACTACCGATCCTCCCGCCTCAGTGTCCTGAGATGTGGGACTATAGATATGGTCACCAAACTAAGCTTCTAAAAGCTAAGTTTTTGTTGGCTTGGTTTTTTATTTTTATTTTTTATTTTTTGGAGACAGGGTCTCAAGTGGCTCAGGGTTGGCCTTGAACTCAGGCCGAAGTAAAAGGTGGCCTTGAACTCTGGATCCTCCTGGCCAGCCCCCATTACTGAGAGGCGCCAGGCCTGGCAAGGTAATTTTAAATTTCAGTTAATGTTATACTTTTATACTGTGTCTTTTGGGTGTGTGTGGAGGGGTGCTGGGACTCAACCCAGGGCTCTGTGCATGCTATGCAAAGTCTACCGCGAGCTACATCTTAGACCAAGCGTGTGCCATGTGTCCTTGTGAATAAGGTGGAGCTGTTGAATGCATTTAGTCAGCAGTAATACAACACACTAAGAGAAAGCCCCATTTCCTTGTTCATGTTTCTATGGAGGCTCTCCTCTCTCATGCCTCCTGTGACTAGCAGTTGCAACTAAAGAGGTGTGCTTGTAACAAGTGACAAGGAGTCAGTAGAACTGGAAGGATGGACAAACAAAAAGCAAAGCTCCTGTAGCAGGAGCATGAATAAGTACGACCAGCAATTTCCACCCTGCGTGAGGAGGCCAGGCAGCCGAGGAGAAGCAGGCCAAGGCTGCCCACATACTGTTTTGGTTGGCATTCAGCAGACACTCAAGGACCCAAATAATATTTGGCCTTTTGTTAGAAACCACAGACAGTGTTTCATGACCCCATCATGTATACTGAGAGCTCTTTACCTTGTTAACTGCTTTGGCACTCTGAACCTAGACCACTGAGCTCTTGGAGCTAAGAACCACAAATCACTTCTCTCCAATGTCAGGATTCTTCCATTCAATCTTCTTATTCTAAAGCTAGGATTATCTGAGTGCTGGCTGGGTTTTTTTTTTTTTTTTTAACCTGTAAATTATCTTATACTACCTCTTCGGAAGTATGGTGATCATAATCCTTCATTTAAGGGACACTCATTAATAAAAGTCACTGCCCATGTGTGCCCCTCAAGTCTCTGCACGGCATCAATCTGAGAGACACATGGAGGGATGAGATGGAGGCAGGGAAAATGAACGGCACATTTTGCTGTTTTTTTTTTGTTTACCCCCCCCCCCCCCCCCCGTCTCTGAACAATACTCATAGGGCCACAGCTGATCGATAATGGTCTGCCTTAATTGGCGACTACTATGTAGCAACAGTTGCAGGGTGCTGGCAACCATTCAAGGCGTGGGAGAAAGCACTGTAGTTTTCTCTGCATTTAAAGGAATAGGAAACAGTGTTTGGGCTGCCCAGTGACAGTCTTTGGATGTAAGAAAGGAAATCATTTCCTATTCCGTGCAAACTTCAATTTACAAAAGAATGCTGGAAACTAAAAGCCTTGCTGATTTATCACACGAAGCTGAGAGTAATTTTTCTCTCCTTGTTACACTTTCATATAATCCTGCTCATGCCTGCATGGGTGACAGTAAAGAATTTCTGAATAAAAATAATAATTTCTCGCTTTCAACCTTCATAATTCCCTTCAGCAAGCACCCTGCTGGGTGGTGATGCCTACTGCCAGAGACACTCTGCTGCCACCTATCTGCCTGTCCCAGCTGGTTCTCCATTGATCACAGTACCTGCAGGATAATGCGCCCGAAGGCATTCTTCAGGAGATTAACAGCCTCCGTGTGAGACAGTCCATCCAGGGGTTGCCCGTTAATGCTCACAATCCGATCTCCCACCTAGAAGGACAAAAGGGGGGAGAAAATCACTATCATTAGGAAAAATTAAATTTGAGAAGAATGCCTAAAACTCTCTGTAAGTTGTATTTCCCATCTGCCTTGTTGTTGAGGGCTGGCTCTTGTGGAGTGTGGGGAGTTTTTATGGCTCCCCCCCAAATGCAGCCCAATCAGAGAAACAAGAAGGGGGCCAGATTTGATTACTGAAAGGCACCGCAGGTCACTTTTGTAGTTTTGGTAACAGTGGTGTTTTATACATACATTTGCCAGTAAGAGTAGGGTGCACAAATTAACTGTTCAGTGAAGCTCTGAGGGGGAAGCCAAGCATTTTCTGTTTAATTTTTATACCCAGTTAAGATTAAGGAACAACAGGGGAAAAATTCATAAAAATGTTGATACTTTCGGTGGGTGGAAGATTCCAAGATCAAATCTGAGTTAAAAACCAATTTCGGGTAAATAAGATGCTAATAGTGTTTAAGAGGTTTGTAAGAAGCTGTGATTCCGTCTTTTACTGCAAAGCACTGATAAAAACATTTTTATATGTCCAGGGGCTTAATGAATCTCAGGTCTGCAGTCTTGTTAATGTATTCTGCCCACAGCATGGGTTGCTGATGGCTTCTGCAATTCCACCTTTAAACAGGGTCCCTGTGGCTACCACCCCCTCCTCCGCCAACACCCTGTCACTGTCAGCCCTCTCCAGTCCCTCGGTGGTACTTACCTTCAGCTTCTGGGTACGTGCTGCCACTCCATTGGCCTGGATCATAGCAATGAATATCGGGATATCTCCTAAAGGACTTCCTTTTCCTCCAGCGATACTGATTCCAAGGGCATCACTGAGCTCCTAGAGAGAGAGAACAGAAGGCCTGCATCTTGGTAATAGGCAGCCATAGTCGGTCCTTCAATTTTATTGGACAAAAACCCTCCATGATAGAGGAGGCCAGCACAACGTGAGTTGCGTACAGAGCATCTTAAAGGCTTGTGTTACCTTGTGCAGTCAGGGTAGCTGGTGGGGTCTCAGAGAAGTCCATCTCTGGGAGCCTCAGTTTATGCACAAGATGGTAAATAGACTATCGTGTACACAGTGATAACTCGAGTATAAATAAAATGATATGGTACTGTCCTGGTCTATAGAAGAGGCTCAATAAAAGCCAACAGCAACAGTAAATTAAAAAACAAAAATCTTCGCTCCTGCTCAGTGGAGCGTCCAATTTGACGCAGCCTTGGCAAGTGTGTTCTCATATGGTGTTTATGATTAAACTGCCGCGCATATCATGTTCTGGGTGTGAACAAACACACTTGGCTTCAAAAGAGCTGCATGACTCCATTAGACAAAGGATCTTAGAGGGTGCCCACTGTTGTGACAGCAGTTTTGAGAGGGAAGTAAAATAGTAGCGAAAATTGTTGCAAAGATGGACCCTTGTGTAGAGATCTGGCTCTTGCCTCCTCCCCCATCATAGGATGGTTAATAATCTTAAATGACTGGAGGCACAAATGACAAGTTGCAGTTCTAGTGGGCTGGCACTCTCGCCAAGTCTATCTATTGCTCCTGTTGACTACAATGGAAAAGTCTTGTCAAAATGCAGATAGCAGCCGTAGCTTCTGTAACAGAAAGAAACTAAAACTGGAGTGGTGAGAATCTGGAGTCGTGACAGCAGCAGGGGTACACTGCCCCTAGTTTTACCGTGTGTGTGTGTGAGTGTGTGTGTGTGTGAGTGTGTGTGTGAGTGTGTGTGTGTGTGTGAGTGTGTGTGTGAGTGTGTGAGAGTGTGTGTGAGTGTGTGTGAGTGTGTGTGAGTGGGTGTGAGTGTGTGTGTGGGCGAGTGTGAGTGTGTGTGAGTGTGTGTGAGTGAGTGTGTGTGTGAGTGTGTGTGTGAGTGTGTGTGTGAGTGTGTGTGTTGTGCTCATGTACTTGTGAGCATGCATATACGTGCATGTGAGCACATGCAGGTAAGCATATGTATGTGCATGCATGTACACATGCATGTGTGTTCCATTTTTGTTCTGAGGGAGACTCCCAGTCAAACTGGGAGCTAAAAAGGTGACTGAATTGCTGATATTCTGATGTCAATCCCATTCTTCAGGTCAGAAGAACCAAAACCAGGCATATCTGCTGCTGGATAATAAGAGAGAACATTCGGTGTGGAAAGAGTTAGAAAGAGACCCTGAATTCTGAGCACAAATGCACAGAATTCTCAGGCTCAGTTCTAATCTACGACGTGGAGAAGAGACCTCAAGCGGCATGCCAAAGTTTTTGATTATTAACTCTGCTTAGAATCACTACAGAGGCAGACAGAAGTCGCACTCTCAGCCTAGCTGGTCGACTGCCTGCTAAGGCATAAGCATCTCTGGTCTTCAGGGTTGACATGACCTAACATCCACTAAGTTCAGGATAAAATCTCCAGCTTGCTAACATGCAGGAAAATGTGACCATTTTTCAACATGTAGGACAGTTGAAAGTAACACTGTAACCTTGTTTTATTTTTTTTTAATTTATTTATTATGTATATAGTGTTCTTGGCACCAGATCTAATTATAGATGGGTGTGAGCCATCATGTGGTTGCTGGGAATTGAACTCAGGACCTTCAGAACAGCAGTCAGTTCTTTTAACCTCTGAGCCATCTCTCCAGCCCTGTAACCTTGTTTTATATGGACATGAGTAGCCTGCCTCAGGCCCCTAGCTGGACCCTTACATGAAAAAACAAAACAACAGAGTCAGGGTACATAAGTGCTAGTCTGTGGGGTAAAAAACCCACATGGTCACACAGCTTCGGTAGTTGAAAATTATTTAAAAATATTCCTAGCCACTGGGTGGTGGTGTGCACACCTTTAATTCCAAGAGGCAGAGGCAGAGGCAGAGGCAAGCAGATCTCTGAGTTCGAAGTTAGCCTGGTCTACAGAGTGAGTTCCAGCGCGACCAGAGATACACAAAGAAACCTTGTCTCAATAAACAAAAACAAATTTATAGCCAAAGATGGCCATGATCCCAGTTTTCTGGAGGCATAGGAAATGGATTTCTGTGAGTTCTAGGCCAGCCTGGTCTACATAGCAAGTTCTAGACTAGCCAGAGCTGCACAGTGAGATTCTATCTCAAAAAATAAAACAGAAACAAAAGAAATAATGCCCTTCGTAGCTTAGTGGTCATCAATTACGCCTTAATAAAGCTGGAAAATAGAAAAGCACCCCCAAAAGGTCCACATGAAAAGAACATAAGAACAGATTTGTAGGGCCAGAGAGAGCTCATGGCAGAACATGTCACAGTCTGCATGAAGCTCCCGCTTTAGTCTCTAGAGCCCAAACCAAATAAAATGCCATCAACAAGGCAAAATGCTCCACCTTAGGGCCATGGAGACAGCTGAGAAGATAAAACCCAAGCCTGCCTGAAAGTTCTGTTATCCAAGCACTCCTCCAAGGAGCTGGGAGACAGAGACAGGAGAACTGCCTGGAAGCTCATGGGCCAGTGAGCCTGGAGTATGAAGTACAGCTGCAGAAACTAGAGAGACCCTGTCCCGAGAAGGTGGAAGGTAAGAACTGACCCCCTTGAGTTGTCCTGGGACTTCTACATGTGGGATGTGGTATGCATGTCATATACATACCCCATGTCCTAGATGATATAAAGGTGAATTATTCTATGATCATTATGCTGCCATGCCATAACTATAATTTAGAATAATTGCATTGCTTCACTTCCAGGGAGCTTCTACTCTGTCTTCACAGAATTCGTGTCCAATTGATACCTTCTAAAAGCATCAATCAATAGACAATGCCTTCTGTGCAAAGTACCAAGAGATATTAACTTATTTTTATTTTATATGTATGGGTGTTTTACCTGTACATACATCTGTGTACACCATGTGTGCAGGGCCCAAACAAGCCCAAAGAGGGTGCTGGATCCTATCCTTAGTTATTTTTGCATTGCAATGAAGAGATACCATGACAAGGTAATAGAAAAGAAAGCATTTAGTTGAGGGCTTGCTTACAGTTCCAGAGGGCCAGTTCATGACTATCATGGTGGGGAGCATGGCAGCAAATAGGCAGGCAGGACCCTGGGGCAGTAGCTGAGAGCTTACATCTCATCCACAGGCACAAAGCAGATAAAAGCAGGGCTGGGCCTGGCATAGGGTTTTGAAACCTCAAAGCCCACCCCAGTGACAGCACCTTTTTCAACAGGGCCACACCTAATTCGTCCTGAACAGCCTACCAAATGGGGAACTAATTCAAATATATGAAACTATGGGAGTCACTTTTACAAGCCCATGCTATACATGGCAAAATTGAGGTTGACTCAAATGGAAGATCAGTGAGTTGATGTTATAGACGACTGCATCCAATCAAAGTTTAATACTGAAGCCTCAAGTTCTAGTTCCTCAGAACATGACTCCACTTTGACAAAGTCTTTAGAATGAGACTGCTAGGGTGAGCTTTAAATCAGTCCAACCAGGAATCTCATGGAAGAGGCTATATAACATGAGAGATTCCAGAATGATGAAACACATAAGGACAGGTCACACAAGGCCACCACAGGAAGGCATCCATCTGCAAGCCAGGAGAGCTCAGAGAAAGCTAACCCTACACCCTAAAGTCTCTAAAACTATGAGAAGCTAGCATCTACTGTTGAAGACACCCAACCTATAATGTTTTGTTAGGCAGCTCTACCAAATAAACACAGTCAAAAAGCAAGTGGGAGAGCATAAGCTATGCCTGAGTCTAGAGAGCCGAGCTGTTCAGGGAATCACCTTACTGCATTGGTTATACCGACTACAACAGGGCCACAGTCTTATTACTATGCTTGAACCTCAAGTTTATAGTCTATTTTCTAATATTCTAGATATCACATGTGAGCTGAAAATCAGCATCTAAAAATGTATGAACTGGAATAAACCTCAAACAATGTTCTCAAAAGAGCAATTCAACAAACACATAACAGCCTTTAATAAGAAACAACCTTCCTATGCTAGAGGTGGAACACATAGCCTCACATAAGATAGCCTAGCACTCTGCAACCAAGCTGCACCCTGGCTCCAAGTGTGGCTTTAGATCTGATAGCTTGCTTTCTAGGAATTAATCCTGAGTTGAGGCAAAAATGTAAATATAGCAATGTTTGTTATATAAGGTAAATATTAAACATGGGCGCTAGAGAGATGTTGAACAGTTAAAGCATTTATTGCTTTTGCAGAGGATGTGGGTTCAACTCCTGCCATATCCATGTGGTGGTTCACAATCACCTGTAACCCCAATTCCAGGGGATCCATTGCCTGCTTCTGGCTTCTGTCCGTACCAGGCATGCACATAATATATAGACTACATGCAGGCCAAATACTCATACACATGAACTAAAACTAAATCTAAAAGGAATAAAAAGAAACATGCTAGGGCTGGAGAGGTGGCTCAGCGGTTAAGAGCATTGCTTGCTCTTCCAAAGGTCCTGAGTTCAATTCCAGCAACCACATGGTGGCTCACAACCATCTAAAATGATATCTGATGCCCTCTTCTGGACTGTAGGCAGACACACAGGCAGAATATTGTAAACATAATAAATAAAATATATTTTTTTTTAAAAAAGAAACATGCTAACTGTTTAACAGGAGGAAGCCGACAGTAGAGAGAATACTACACCACCGGTGACAGTCGCGTTCTGTGCTGTCAAGAGCACACGGCTCCAAGTGCACACAGCAAGGTAAAGAAGATGAGCTACAAGAGGATGTCCAATACACTCTCTGTTGTGTGAAATTTAAACACACACACTATTATGAAAGGTTATATTAAAATATTCACAAAGGTCAATTATGTGTTTCAGTTTATTTTTTAAAACTCTATTTCTGTTACATATTTACTTTAGTAACTTGGAAGAACAAATAATCGGATAAATTATATCCAGAAGAGAAATGTACAAAATAGACTAAAAATAGTAACCGACTTACTCGGATTATCTCAACAGTTCTTGGTCCCATCTCTGCGCCTATGAAAGAAGCAAGAACATTCATTAATGCTTTTGAACCAGAGGCAGTATGCTTAAGTAACACTCCCCTAAAGACAGTAGCATCCCTCAGATTTTCAAGAAGGAAGACTAAAGCAATTACAGCAAACCCCTCCTCAGTGTCAGAGCCACCGGTGTTTTCAGGGGCGGTGTCCCAGAGTGGACAGACGTGGCCATAATCATTCGGTCTGACTAAAGCTGATGGGCTGCAGCAGCTATGGCCTGAGACATGGTGACTTCGTGTTTCTCTGTGCATTCCTTCTGCCCTACCCTAAGAGGGACTTAAAACCCCCGCCCCCTCTGTTCTCAGGACATGTGCACTTCTCACCCCTTCCAGCCTCCTGCGCGTTCTCATGCACTCTGAGTCTTTGCTTTTCTGTTGCTCCCCACTCCCAACCTTTCCTTCTGAAACAGGCCACACTAAGTAGCTTGGGCTGGCCTTGAACTTACATTTTTGGGGAGGATCAGAAGCTCTTTTTGTGCCAACCAAGTTTTGTAGGCCAGTGATGACTGGGGCCAAGGAAGGCCGGCCGCTGCTATGTGCACTGTGCTGACCCCCCTAAAACAGAGACACTGGTCACTTGTGTGCGGGCACTAGCAGGGCACCAGATCTACAGAGACTGAGGCCGCCAGTCATCTGCAGGACGTTCTGAAGAAGACAAGAAGAAAACTAGTGCTCACCCTCCCTTACCCCAGCCCCATGCAAACACTCGCTCCTTGTGTTCCCCCATCACAGGAAGAGCAGATAATTGGAGATGCTTTTGCTGCACATGACATCAGACATTGTCCTTGCTTGCCACAGTATTACGGCCTTCAGTGACTGGCCCTGTCCTTTGGGGAAGCAACCAATCTGACTTTCCTAATTACCCAAACTATAACCCATGCCCCATTAGTCGAGTGTGTGATGCTTAATCAACAGGAAGTGAACTGAGTACAGACAGACTTCTGAAGAAGGCAGCAACAAATGAGGGGAGAGAGCCAATTTAGGGATATCTCACTTTTATATCCCAAATCGTTTTATAATCAGGAATGGTTCAATCCAACCCGCTAGACCTGCTATTTAACCTTTTCCCCCACTGAAAGAGATATTTGAGATTTACAAACAGCTAGTGACTATCCAAAATCACACACGTTAGAAATGCCCTTTCCAATGTAGATAATGTCATCTCTCGCTTTTCTACCCAGTTACCGAGTCTATGTTGTCTAACTGCACTGAAAATTTAAGCTAAGACTAACATCACTATGACCATTTGTTAATGAGGCAGGGTCTTGCTATGTAATGCAGGCTGGCTTTAACTTAGGCCTTTCTGAATGCTGAGATTACAAGTGTGTGCCATCAAGCCTGGTTTCAACTCCTTTATTTTGTTTGGTGCTAAGAATTAAACTTGGCTTCATGCATGGCAGGCAGGTGCTACGCCCACCACAGCTGAGTGATCATGTATTTCACTATGGAAGAAGCTTTGAAACATTCAAATCTTTCTTAAATAAGAAGGATTTAAAATAAGCAAACTATTATAAGAATTATAGATATACCTAGATTCCATAAATGAAAATCTGCTATGTTTTTATGAGACACACCTACATATATAATCTCAGCACTAGAGAGGTAGAGCCAGAAGATCCCTACACTGGGCACATACTTGGGAGTCTCCCTCATAAAAACAAAAATAAAATGAAAATGAAATGCCTATAATTTCTTTTTATTTTACACGTGTGTTTTGCTTGCATGATGCATGTATACTATATGCACCAGCCTGAGGCAGCCAGAAGAGGGCACTGAATCCCCTAGAACTGGAGTCACAGATGATTTTGAGCCACAATGTGGGTGTAGGGAATTAAACCCAGGCCGTCTGCAAGAGTAACAAGTGCTCTAAATACCCCGGGCCATCTCCAACCCCTCCACTTTCTTTACCACATATCTTCTATTCATCAATTAATTAATCTTTTACAGTTAATTTTCATATAGGTTATAGAGATCTGTAGACTTTAGGATAGGCACACCTTTCTTTGGTATGATACAGAGGTCCCATATATCCTAAACTGATCTTACTTTATTTGTGATCTAGTTAATCATGACCTCTTGGGACCCTGTCTCTACCTCACTGAGTGTTAGGATGTCAGGTGTGTGCTACCATGCTGTTTATATGGTGCTTGGGATAGAAATTTATGAGCCAGCAGTTATACTTAACCACTATCAAACACCAAACTATACAAACTTACAATTAAGTAAGATGTATTAAAACCAGATACAGAGCTGGGGATGAGGCTCAGTCTGTAGAGCACTTGCCTAGCATGTGAAGTTTATGAATCATGATGATATTTATATATATTCCTCCAGAAGAGTCAGAAGTGCAGTCTGCCCAGCACCTCAACTGTTAGTCCAGTGGGAAGAACAGTGCATGTCCAGTATTGCTCACTTTGTACTCTAGTCTCCTGTGTACAATGAGGCTGAATAGAACCACTCACACGGATGAGTCTTCCCTCAAAGAAGAAGCATGCCTGAGACTGCTGTCTTGTATCTGCAGCTCCCATTGTCAACTTAATTATCCACCAAATCCCTGATTATTCACATGTGGAATAAGCAGCATTATGTGTTTTTATGTTTGCTGCTAATTACAGAAGCTGGGCTGGGTAGGGGGATCCAAATTTAACAGTGTGGATTAGGTTAGATTGTTTTGAAGATTACGTAAAAAAAATTTTATTTACGTGTGTGCTATGTCTGTGCATGCAGAGTGTCAGATCCCCTAGAACTGGAGTTACAGACAGTTTGAGTCACCATGTAGGTACTGGGAATTGAATCCAGGTCCTTTGGAAGAGCAACAAGTAATCTTAACCTTTGAGCCATTCTGCTAGGTCCACTTTGAAGATCCTTGAAGTCAAAGCAGTTAGTCTGTGACCCTGTCTGATCAATGACAAATATTTAAAATTCTCTTATTACACTAATTTGTGTGTAGATGTGTGTGTGTGTGTGTGTGTGTGTGTGTGTGTATAAGCACATGCCATAGTATGAGTGTGACAGTCAGAAGACAACTTTTGGGAGTCAGTTTTCTCCTTCTACAAAAAGAGTTCTAGGAATTAGACTCAGGTATCAGGTTTGGTGGCAAGTACATTTACCCGCCAGTTCACTGGCCCTCATGCTATCCTTTCCGCCCATTTTCTAACATGAATGTGCCAAAGCAGCGGCTGACAGCTTGCAGATCCAGACACACTAGGCTGTGGGGAGGCTGTCGTTACAAGGCAACCAGAAGAGTCACACTTTAACCTTAAAAAGGGGGGCTGTCCATCACCCCCAAAGAGACTAGGGAGTTACATGCAAGTTTCTACAGTTGAATCATGTGCCAAGCGGGACTAACAGAGGGAGTCTGAGTGTGTCAGCCATTATAACACACACAAAAATTACCGTGAAAATACTTCATTAAAAAGGTGGTACTGACATCAGTCTTGCAAATCAATATATTTGCTAACTCACAAAATGTCACTCACTAATACCTCCCTGCCGTAAGAGAGACCCCCATTTTCTTTTTTGCTCTCCTAGGAATATACCATTAATTGCCTTCAGCATGTGTGAGTGGCTATTCACAAGTTAACTTTACAGCAATGTTTAATTGGATGAACAGAACAATGTTGTGCTAATGAGGGTCAAATTGCCACCAGATGTTACCTCTTTTTTTTCCTTTTTAAAATAAACACAGCTGTGTATGTGTGTGCACGGGCAATATAGAATAGCGGGAGACAGAAATGGTTCTAAGAAAACCCTATAAGCAATAAAGGAAAAACTTGTGGGGCTTAGTGAATTTCCACCCCACCTTTCAGTTTCATTTCAAACACATGAAAACACACTGAAGTAGGTGCTGTGAAAATGTGTATATCAGACATCATTTCTAAATAATCATTTATGAGATGAGGAACTTCCTCCCAGCGGGTGCAGGAGAGAGAGTCAGATAGGAAGACATCACCAACCTGGCTATTTTGTGAGGTCTTCCAAGAGGAAGCCCAGGAACCAGCCCGGAGTCTCCCAATCTCCAGCTGCACAAGGCCCTGGACACACTTGGGAAGACAAGAAAAGACAGAAGTAAAACACAACAGCATTGATGATCTAAAACACCAGAGTGGGGCCTTCTGCAGCCAAGGCTTACTAGAGGGAACTAGGTCAAAAAGGAGAACCAGCCATCCAAAACCCAAGCAGACAGAAAGTCAGCAGCTTCATCCGTGGGCCCTTCAGATGCATCAAATGGGCTTGATACCAACCGCCTTTCTTTTCTCTCATTTCCTTTCTGATGAAAGTGTTCAAAAAGTGGGAAAGAGCAGAGTGGGAAACCCAACAGGAGACAGTTCACAAATCCAGGCCCTCCTCTGCAGAGTAACTGAGAGCTGACTGCACCAGGAAGCCCGGTTATTATAACAAACCTCATCTGTCTGTACAAGCTTCCACAGTTGCTATAAAGATCCACTGGTTGCAACCAAAGGGGAAGGGGGTTCGTGAAGCAGAGCCCCTTAGCTGCGAAGTCTGAGCTGCAGACTTCCACAAGCTCACCACAACCCAGGGTGGGTTGACTCTGTCTTCATTTGGGAAACGAGAAGCCAGTCTAGATGAGTGTTAGCATTCCCTTCTAGTGATCAAAGTTGGGTTTGATGAATGCAGAGAGAAGGGGGCGGACCCCATGCCCTAGGATGGGCTGGAAGACAAATGTGACAGTTGGACCGGTCACTACATGAGAAACGACCTCAAAGGCCCAGGCAGGCCCCTCTGTCTGCCGCATCAGCACAACAGCTGTACTTTAAAGCTATTTTCAGCCACCAGGTATTACATTTCTAGTAAGAATAGAGCAAAAACATCCCACCGAGGCCAAAAAGACCGGGCCAGCTCCGTGAGCCTTGGTCACTGTAGCTAGGTCGTAAGCTGCCTAGGGACTCACCTTGAGGATGGTGGCCACTGTCTCCTGTGAGGCATGTCTCAGGTCCTCTCCATTCACAGACAAGATCTGGTCTCCTTGAATCAATCTGCCATCAAGGTCTGCGGCTCCGCCTTTCACAATATCAGATATAAACACTCCGCTTCCACTCCTGTTAATATCACCAAGCATTGTGGGATGGGCACAGGCAGTTAGTTATTAACTAAAATTGGACCTTACTTTATAAAGACTTATGTTAAGATCTAAAACTCAAAAGTTCTAAAACCAATCCATTAAGTCCACTGCCATCCACTAACTTTATAATAATAAGCTTCATGATTAGATTATGCCTCTTTGTCCTTTGTATTATACATCCATCTTTGCCTACTGTGTTCTTACTTTTATTGGTGGTGTAAACTGTGATCCCAGCACTTGGGAGGTGATGATTTTACTACAGAAAAATAGCAATTTACTTCTTATTTTATTTATTTATTTATTTATTTATTTATTTATTAAGACAGGGTTTTTCAGTGTAGCCTTGACTGTCCTGGAACTCCTCTGTAGACCAAGCTGGCCTTGAACTCACAGAGATTCACCTGCCTCTGCCTCCTGAGTGCTGGGATTAAAGGCATGCGCCACCACTGCTGATGGATATTTACTTTGTAAAGATGCAGAGTTTATGGCCTGGAGTACAGCTCTGGGGCTGACTGCTTTCTGATGGAAGCATGACCCTGGGGTGATCCCAGCACCCCATACAAAAATGAGATGAGCAAGCTATTCTCTTAGAGTAGAGTCCATTGCTAGTGACTTCCTTTCATTAAAATATATTTTTAAATTACCATGTGTTTATGTAGGTAGACATGTGCAGGCCAGCACATGCATGGTGGTCAGAGGACAGAATGTGGGGTTGTTACTCTCCAGAGAGTCTAATCCAGAGCTTCACGCTTGCTAGGCAAGCAGTCTACCAACTGAGCTAAATCCCCAGCTTCTTATTTTCAGTCTTTAAGGAATTATGGAATTACTTGTCAAGAGGATCTGTAACCCTTAAGAGATACATTTGACCCTTTACAATGAAAAGCTTCATACTAAAGAATATAAATGTTCTTCTCAAACTAAATCTGCAATACAGATGGCGGACGAGGATCACTTTGTCCATCTCTGACTCGACAGTAAGGGCAAACGCAGTGTGTGGTGGTGCATTCCAGCTGAGTCTGAGACTAGCCCCAGCTACACAGTGAGACCCTATCTCAACAAACACCACAACACAGAGCCACCATCTCTGACTGGGATGTCCTCAGGGACACAGAAAGCAGCTCATCTTGTCTCCACAGTTGCTCTGCACCCTCACGTGCAAGACAAACCCACAGATACTGCCCTAGGCAGCCACTCTAATCCTTCCTGCAGAGCTGAGTGCAGACTCAGCAGCCCAGCTGGAACCAGCTGTATCTCAACATGACACGTCTTAGAAACCCCCTCATTACTCTACAGTAAGCTTTCATTTCTAGTGTTTACAAGTATTAGTCCCCATGTACTGGAGAAAAGGGCTGACTTTGACTTGAACAACTCATCCTTACCGTTTCCCAACAATGCTCAGGCCCAGTCCTCGGCCAGTCTTCTTCTGCAGATCCACAAGGAACACCTCCAAGTTCTCCTCATCTCTGTACTGCGCCTCATCTCTGTACACCACCAGGCGCACCTTCTGGGGAGTCTGCCTCAGGGCTGTGATGGCTTCTTCATGGCTGCAGCTCCTCAGGTCAACCCCATTAACCTGAAACAACAGCCATTCTGAGATGGGCAGCTTACCACAGACTTCAGATTGCTGCTGCTCCTTGATGCAACTGATGAGGACTCTCTAGAAAGTTCCAGTCATTCTCAAAGCACACCATAGTGACCATCGAGAGTATGAGCTGCTTCACACAAAAAGACCGCACCCCACAAAGAACAGAGGGTGGGTTGGTGTGCCTGGTCACATATTTACACAGCTGTGAACTTCACTGCAGAGTTAGGAGAGCTGGTGTGTGTGTGTGTGTGTGTGGTTAGTTGTTGAGGTTGGAGGGAAGGAGCCAGTACAGCTATTATCCCAGTTAGTAAGTATCTTTGGGCTGTTTGCTCGTTGGACTTGACTCTTCTTTGTTTGTCTTTCTGTGACAGTCTCACTATGTAGCCCTGGCTGTCCTGGAAATGCTATGTAGAACAGGGTAGTCTCAAACTCGCAGATATCTGCCGCCTCTGTCTCTCGAGCACTGGCATTAAAAGTCTGCACCATTACAAATCTGGCTGGCTCCTCACCCTTAGTTGCTCAGATCTTCAGTACTGGCCCAGAAAGAAATAAAGGACAAGTGTTTCCAACAGCTTCAAAGAAGCCCTTGAAGGTTCATATTTGAATCTGATAGCAAGGACACAGAGAGGCCCACTACCAGAGAACACACGATACTGGAAACAGTCAGTAAAGACACACAAATCTGGGACCCCATCCCTAAACCCCACTCTCTTGCTCTGTTATATGGAGATCACAGACAATTTACTTTTTAGGTAAATATTTCCATCGTGCTTGTAATGCCAATACTTATGGATTCCGTCCCCCCAAAGCTTTCATTTTTACTAATGAATATTAGCTATATAAATACTGGGTATCATTGTGGTATCTCCACAATACACGTAATGTACTCTGATCATACTTATTACTTCCCTTATTACCTCCTCTCGTCCCCACACCCTCTTCCTGATCTTCATTTTCCAAGCAGTTCTTCTTTCACTTTCCTGACTTCCACCCACACAGACATGAGACGGAACACATGATACTTGACTGAGTCTGACTTATTTTGCCTAACACGATGGTACGCAGTTCCATCAATTTTCCTGCAAATGACATGATTCTATTTTTCTTTATGGCAGAATAATACCACATGGTGTGTATATGTGTGCAAACTGTGTTTTCTTTATATACGGATGGGCATCTAGGTTGATTCTATGACTTGGCTTTTGAGAATAAATAGTACCACAAAGCTGGACAGGGGTTTGCACACTTGTAATCTCTACACTCAGGAACTCCCACATATCTGAAGCTAACCTGAGTTACATAGCAAAGCGCTGTCTCAAAACAAACAAACCAAATGGAACAGTACTACTGTGAACACGCATATGCCGGCATCTCTACTGCGTGCGTGCTGATGAAGACTGAGCTGTGTGCTCAGGAGTCTCTCTGGATCACACTGTTCTTTTCTTAGGTTTCTGTGTGAGCGGTGCCACTGCAAGCCTGTGGGGTCAGAGGGCAGCTGTAGGGGCTTCTCTTCTTCTTCCACCACATGGCTCAGGGACGGAACTCAGCACTCAGGTTACTAGGCCCTCTTACTTGCTGAGCCATTTCACTCTGCATTGTCTCTTCTCACTGGCTAACTATTTCCTTTGCCATGCAGAAGCTTTTTATGTGATCTCATTTGTCAGTTCTTTCTTGACTAGAGTCTTATTCAGAAGTCACTGCCTATGCCTACTCCTGAACTACTCTCCTCTTTTCCCAACTAGTTTAAAGTCTTAAATTATGGTTGTCTTGGGTTATGTTTCTATTGATGTGATAAGACACCATGACCAAGACAACTTATAAAAGCAAGCATTTCCTGGGGCTCACAGATCCAGAGGGTTATAATCTATGATTGTCATGGTAGGGAGCATGGCTATAGTCTAAATTCAATATATACTGTTATCATGACCATTTACAGATGAAGAAACCAAGGAATTTGACCAAAATCACACATCTAGTAGGTGGAGAAGTCAACATTTGAACCCAAATTTGTTTTCCTTTCTATAAAAGCATGTGTGTGTGTGTGTGTGTGTGCGCGCGCGCGCGTGTATGTGGAAGACAGAAGGTGACACTAAGTATCTTTTACTATTCTTTCTCTACCTTATATATTGAGGCAGGGTTTCTCACTTGAACCTAGAGCTTGAGAGAGGACTTTATACTGTAGCCCAGGCTAACTTCAAACTCACTATATAGTTGAGGCTGGACTTGAATTCCTGATATTCCTGCATCTACTTCTCAGCTCTTGGTTTATGGAGGTCAGCCACCACACCAGTCAGAAACATTTTTAAAAGTGCTGAGCACATGGCTTGATGATAGGGTGCTTGAATTTAATTCTCAATTCCATTTTTTTTTTTAAAAAACTACTGACTCATCTCTCCAGTTCCTAACCAGACAATCTTTCCATTCTAGTCCTTTCACCACGCAGCCTCATAGGTTAGTCCCTGAATAGGTTATTAGATGGATCATCACAAATAGTTAAATAGTTGGTACTGATCAGTAAATTTCTACAAAGAAGAAACTCAGGGACAGGGTAGCTTTGGATTCAAAGTTACTCCTTCCGGGTGACATCTTGGAAAAGAGCTGAACAAAAGGAAAAATAGCCCCAACTCTGGCCAGACTGGTGGCAAGAGTGGAAGAGCTCCTGACATGTGACTTCCACCCCTTATTCTGATACAGCCCGTGTGACCCAAGAAGGTCAAGCCTGTCTCTGAACCTGGTCCCTTTATTTCTTCAGTAAAAGACAGTCTAAGGCTTTCCTAACTCTGATACCTAAAGACCAGGGACCCTAGGCATCCAAGGAGGAAGGGAGAACCAACTTTTCTTGAAGAAGGTAACTTTGGGGCTGTGTTTAAATTTTTTAAATTATTTTATCTTTAATGTTTATGGATGTTTTGATTGCATGTATATCTGTGCACCATATGTATGCCTAGTGGTCAAAGAAGCCAGGAAAGGGTGTTAGATCCTGTGGAACTAGAGTAGCAGATGAGTCGCCATGTAAACGCTGAGTCCTCTGGAAGAGCAGCCAATGCTATTAATTGCTTAGCCATCTCTCTAGCCCTGCCTTTAAAAAATTAATTAATTTTGTTGTATTCAGGGCTTTGCACATGCTAGGTATGAGCTTTCCCCACCCCACTGGGCTGTTGTCTAAATCAGATTCTGTGAGCCAAGAACATGCCTAAAAGGCCAATCACCCATTACCAAGATGCCGTTTTCTTTCTGGTGCATCTCAGCACTCACAGACATCCAGAGTCACGTTGGTTAAGGACATGGGTTCAGACAGAGGCTGAATTCAGTTACTATGCCAGTCTGACTTCCTGGCTTTGTGAAACCCAGAGATATGACTTCAGTTGGGTTTCTGCGTCATTCATGAGCTGGAGCCAGGAAGAATACCCACTTTGCGTTGAGAATTGACTGAAATAAACTCTGTCAGGTTTATGGTTTGTAACCCGGCACATAGGTATTTACTGTAAGAAATGACGGGCTGAAAGGAAATGCTGCCAGAGCTGTTTTCCTCTGCGCAGGACGCCTCACCATTCCTTCAGGTCACTAAGTATGCTTTTGCATTGTTAGTGAATCAGCTCACAGAACAAAGGGGAAACTGTGCTTCCAGGGAACGTGAGATACGCTGATTATTTTCCTGTCGTCCAACAGATGGCACACAAGACCACTTCTACTACTTGAAACACTAGGTGACCTCGTGGACTGAAGGTGAACTTTGTAAGCCATCTCAAAGGCCTTAGTAAATACACAAATAACTGAAGGCACTGCCATTGAACTCTAACACTACAAAAGCAGTTTTTACCAAGTTCTGGCACTAGGGGGCCTGCTCAGATCAGAGTGACCTCAGCTGGCTTCCACAGGCTGTGCTGGTCAGGAAGCGGCATGAAGGAACAAACGAAGTCTGAGCATTGCTTTAGGCGCCTTAGACAAGCACTGCCGACAGTGTTCACAACACTGCTTGCTGATGTGGGGGTAGTGGGAGTGGCCCCTGTTTGAGAAGAGCTCTTGAAGGTCCTGCTGTCCCATCCTTTTAGTAGGCTGGGCATATGAAAAGTGGACGAGCCACTGCCAGAGAAGGGCTTTGGGGAATTAACTCTCTTTCTGATCCTACTTTCACAGGATATAACAGCAGTAAGGTAGGGTAAGAGAAGGGACTGGCCTAAAAACCACCAGGAAGAAGAGTTTATGCTCATCAATGTCTGAAATTGTTTGGTTGAGTTTTTGGAACGAAATCTGGCTTTATCCTAATTTTAACATTAAGATACTGTGATGTTCAACATTGTCAATTTGACAAGATCTACACCCACTGAAGAGATGAACCTTCTAGCATGTCTGTGGATTATATAGATCAGACGAACTGAAGTAGGAAGACCCATGCTAATGTAGGCATTACTGTCCATGGGCTACTGTCTCAGCCTAATCAAGGAGGAGAATGTGAGTTGGGCGTGTTCTTGCTGTTCTCTGCTCCTGTGTCTGGATGCATTGTGATCAACTATCACTTACTTCTGCCACCACACTCTCGGTCAGAGCTGTATCCCCTGGAGCTGTAAGCCAAACAAGCCCCTTTCCTTAAGTTGCTTTGTTGAGCACTCTGTTGTGTCAATGAGATGAGCAATAAGAAACAGATATTATAAGAGCCATGGCAGAACAGCTTGCAGAATGTATGATAAAAAGGGATAGTGGTCTTAAAAAATGGAATTGAGAATTAAATTCAAGCACCCTACCATCAAGCCATGTGCTCAGCACTTTTAAAAATGTTTCTGATTGGTGTGGTGGCTGATCTCCATAAGCCAACAGCTGAGAAGTAGATGAAGGAATATTAGGGATTCAAGTCCAGCCTCAACTATATAGTGAGTTTGAGGTTAGCCTGGGCTACAGTATGAAGTCCTCTCTCAAAACAAAAACAAAAGTGGCTTAGTTTGGGCTAGCAAGATGCCTCAGTGGCAAGCCACTTGCTAGCAAGACTGATGATTTGAATTTGATCCCGGAACTCACAAGGTGGAAGGAGAAAACAGGCTCCTGTAAACTGTCCTTGGATCTCCACACGTGTGCTGTGGCATGCGTGTGTGTGTGCACGTTGCCCCCCACATTCATACACATATAGGCAATATATGAATAAATGTTGAAACAAGTCTTGTTTAAGTTTTCATTTTTAACGAGTTCTCACCAAGTTGCCTACCCTGGCCTTGAACTCACTCTAAATCTCTGGCAGGCTTTGAACTAGTGCAGCTTCCTGAGTGCTGAGATCATAGCCTGTACCATCAGGCCTGGCAGGAAAATTTAACTAAGATATAACTGATAGAAAATCAGGTATATACATTTGCATTTAAAAAACGATTTATTTTATATGTATCAGTATTTTGCCTATATGCATGGCTGTGTACCGCATGCATGTCTGGTGTCCACAGAGGCTAGAAGAGAGTGTTGCATCCCCTGACACGGTTGTTACAGACAGTTGTGAGCTGCCATGTGGGTGCCAGCAATTGACCCCGGGTCCTCTGGTCTTCCAGTGCTGGGAACTGCTGAGCAAACTGGGAAGTTTCTACTTTTAATATTAAACCCACTCACCTTGAAATGCCAATTATGACAACATCAATTGACTAGAAAATCTAGAAAGAAACCAGAAGTCCCCAAAACTTTGATCAGTAAAAAACAGTGTTGCTTGCAAAAGCATCCAGTCTAATTCCTGAAGAAGGCCCGTTTGTTTTTCTAACCTCATTCATCAGTGCCTTGACAAGCGCACTGGGGATGCATCCTAATCCAGTGTGCCACACAGTCAAGGTCTGCAGAGAAACCCGGCAACCTGACCTGAACTTAATCTGCACTTAGCCTGGATTCCCTTTTTACCCTTTGCATCTAGGTGCTCCACTCTTGATTACAGCCCTGTTTCATCTTGAAAGCCAGAAATGAGCCACTAAAGGAGAAATAAAGTTCTGTGATGTCATTCATAATATGTTATAATAAAAATACAAAGTGAAAATTACACATGCCCACCATAAAGTCTCTTCCATTAAATTCATTCAGTGAAAGATGCTAAAGTCTCACACCACTGAAACTCTCTCTAGCTCCACCTACTAGAGTGCCTGGAATTGACCGTGTTGTGGGATAACCTTTTTGTATACTGTGAAGAAGAGTCTCTGCCTAAGGTGCCTTCTGATTGGTTTAACCAAGAACTGAATGGCCAATAGGTAGGCAGGAGAGACCAGGGAGAACTTCCAGGGAGAGAGTTGAATTCGGGGTTAGATCCAGGCACACAGGAGACACCAGCGAGACACTGAAGAAGTCATGGAGGAAGTTATGGAGAATAGGTAGCAAGCCAGGTGGCAGAATGTAGATTAATATAAATGGGTTAACTTAAGTTGTAAGAGCTAGTTGGAGATAAGTCTAAGCTAAGGCCAAGTTTCCATAATTAATAATAAGACTCCGTGTCATTATTTGAGGGTGGCAGCCAAAAAGAAAGGCTGACAAGAAAGTCTGACTATAGACTGGCTTCCTGCTCATCTGTTTCTTAGCATCACACTGACTATTGTTACACTATTATTATTTTTAACATATTAATGTCATCAGTGGAAACTATCTCATTTAATGATTTTTTTTTGCTTATCCTACTTTAAAGATTTTCTTACTTTGATTATGTCTAGTGTATGTGTGTCTGTCTATGTGTAGGTATGTGCACATGAGTCTGGGTGCCCTCGGAGGCCAGAAGAGTAAGATTCTCCCTAGAATTGGAGTTACAGGTGGTTATAAGTTGCTTGACATGGGTGCTGAGAATTGAATTTGGGTCCCCTGGAAGAACAGTAAATGTCTTTAACTGCTGAGCTATTTCTTCTGCTCCCTAGCATCTTTTAGAAGGCTTTAACAATATTGCAAAATGACAAACTAGTTAAAGAATTTGGTGAAGTAGCTCTGTGTTGGTAAGTACTAGATAACATCTAAAAAGAAAGATTTTACATTTTTATTGACTTAAAAATGTTAGTGGTGAGGCATGGCTTTCCTTTTTACAAATGGCGTATTAGAATTAAGGAGATTACTTATGGCAACAAAGTCTTTAAAATTGCATGTGTGTGATATTTATGTGTTTGTATGTATATGTTTTCAGCAGGGGATTTAGTAAGAAAGGGTGGAGAGATTAAAAACCATGAATATATATATTCCTGTCATATTAAAATGATAGAATTGTAAGTGGTAGTCTTCTTTGTCAGGACCACGAGGGGTGCACCCACCCACTGAGACAGTGGGGCTGATCTATTGGGAGCTCACCAAGGCCAGCTGGACTGTGACTGAAAAAGCATGGGATAAAACCGGACTCTCTGATCATGGCGAACAATGAGGACTGATGAGAAGCCAAGGTCAATGGCAAGGGGTTTTGATCCTACTTCATGTTCCGGCTTGGTGGGAGCCTAGCCAGTTTGAATGTTAACCTCCCTAGACATGGACGGAGGTGGGAGGACCTTGGACTTTCCACAGGGCAGGGAACCCTGACTGCTCTTTGGATTGGAGAGGGAGGGGGAGAGGAGAGGGGGGAGGGGGAGGGAAATGGGAGGCTGGGAGGAGGTGGAAACTTTTTTTTCCTTTTCTCAATAAAAAAAAAGTTTTCTCAGATTTAGATCAACAATGTCATGGTTATGAAGCAGTGGTTGTTGGGCAACACTGAGAAAGAAGAGGCTATGGCACATGCTTTGTTCCGCAGGAAACAAATCACTGTGGGAACAGTAGAATCAAAGACAGGCGCTTTGACCTTAGGGACCAAGGTTAATCATGTCCAGTGTCACAAAGAGCAATTCAGAATGGGGTACCTCTAAAATCTGGTCTCCAGCCCACAGTCTTCCATCTCTGGCTGCTGCACCTTCTTCATAGACTTCATGGATAACTATAGCATCCTATAAAAGAAAAATTCCCACTAATGGTTAGCAACCAGACACAACCTTAAGCAAGCATCCAGATGATGGGCAGCAACCCTCAACTGGCCATTTGCTAATGTTTACTTGCTTGATATAAACATAAATAAGAAGCAAAGTTAAAGGTTCAGAAGTACAATTATATTTTCCAAAGATGATTATTTCACTCCTTTAGGACGGGATTTGTCTCAGATCCCATGTTAAACTTCCCCCGTGTTCTTTCTGTTGACCTTAAACATTTGCTGCTGCGTTCAAACTTGAGGTGAACTCTGCATCATTTACTTTTTACTGGTAATTTTAAACAGTTTCAGGTATTTACTAGAGCTCAAGGGTTCAGCGTAGAATAAGTGTGGCCTGATCAAGGGTTCTGCCAGGCCTCATTACTTGGGCGATGAAAGAAAAGAACCTGGTGAAATGAGCTTGTGTTGAAGGACAAAGCGGGATGTGGGAGGAAGCACTCAGAAACCAAGTACAGGTCAGCTGTGGGTTTGGGACGCCTTTGAACTGAATACTCTAGGCCAGAACTGTAGGACACTTTCTGTGACAGGTAACCTTTCCTTAAAAAATGTCTCCTCATTAATGAATTAAAAGTAATCTGCATCTCTTTGTATTCATAATCTCATTATTTGTTTTCTTCTATTTAAAGTTTTTTTTTTTCAATATCCTTTTAGTCATGTCCTTGTGGGTGTCTGCTGGCTGAGTCTGAGGAGAGGTCTAGGATGTGATGTGTTCGAAGATGGCACTGCCCCTTCCAGCTGTGGGTCTGCAGAAGGCCATGAGCTCTTCTGGAACTGAACAGTTTACTAGCTACACATGTGGCTGGCCGCCAAGTGTCATCATGGGCAATAGAATGATCAGCTTTCTTGTCACTCGTTAGCGAACACCTATGTAGCAAAGGTGCCACACACGTTCATCTGTGCCACTCAGTCTTCCTAACAGCTGAGCAACCTAGCACTGTTAATCCTGCTTGCAGAAGAACAAGTGAAGGTCCATGGGTTTCAGTTCTGAACAGGTCTTTGCAGTTTCTGACAGGACAGACGTAAGTCTGGGCTCCTACCATGTGACTGACCTGTTTGAAAAGGCCAGGCTGGCTTCTCAATATGATCGGTTTTGTGGAAAAACTGCCACCTCAGTTCCACAGCAGTAGCCTCAAGGGCACGAGTGGATCATTTTGTGTGGAGTGGAAGGAAGGAAGCCTTGGGACTAGTAAGACGTTGCCGTCTACAGATCTCAATGGCAGAAGGTGGCACAGGGTCTGGTCCCCACTGCCGCAGTGGGAATGAATCCCCGTCCCCACAAACAAGCTTCTCCTTCAACTCCACTGGTTCCTTGTATCTTTTCTCCAGCCTTTACCTCTCCAGAGCTGTTTCTGAGTGAGTTTTTTTTTTTTTTTCAGGGCAGGATAATATAACCAACAACACACCATATACCACTGACAGGTTGATATTTAAATACATATAGAGAAATCATCTTTATGTGTTTAGAAAGTATGAAGGGCTTCAAATGTTGGAAGGTAACTCCTTTGTTTCCTGACGTTCTCTTCAAATCAATCAAGGGTCACATCCTCCACTAATCCTTGGTGTGAGTCACCACTGCATCCCTGCACTTAGCAGAATATCACAGTTGTTTTTCCATGGACCCATTCCCCTATCCCTGATGCTAAAATTCAGAACTGCTCCCAGTTCATCTCTGTGTTCTGGTGGCAACCCGAAGCAAATACCCATCAAGTCTTCTATTTAGTGTTTATCAAGAAAACATCGACGAGAGAAGAAAGAGATCAAGATGACTCTGAATGGTGAGGTGGGTAAGGCTAGTATGTCTTAATTCTGTTTCAGTCTACCTTCTGATGGCAAAGTATTAACAATACAAATCCAAAACACTCAACCAAAAATGGATGTGAAAGTCATATGAATTCCCATATGAATTTTGTTAGCTCAGAGAACCATTTAAAGGAGCCAAGCAGGAGAGAGACTTAATTATCACCGAGCCCCACAAAATCCCCAAATTCCTCCAAGGGGATTAAACTCTGAATTGCTGGAAAAGAATTTGATAATATGTAATAACAGAGCCTTAGACAGAGGCAAATTCACTGCACACTACAGCGCATCAATCAAATTTTCTTTACTGTTCAAGCTGCCAACAAGTAGATAAAGTAACTCATAAACACACTAATCATTCAGCAAAAGGCAATTTTATCCTTGTCACAATAGGCCCATAACACTTAAGGAAGCCATGTGTTAGAAAAATTAAGCAATGTCGTCCGTGGGCTGAAAGAGCTTAAAAAGCTTTACATTGTGGACAAGCTATTCTGGACTAATGAGGTTTTTATATTTAACACGTGTAGATTTTCAGTAGATTACTTTAATAAGCATTTTAGAACAGAATTTTGACTGGGAACTCCATGGTAGATAATTATGAAGGTCTGTGTCCACATGGCTTTGTTTCCTGCTTGCAGGCAAGTTTTCCATAGCTTGGATCACCCTTGAAGGAAAAGCAGTCTTTGCCACACTCATAAAAGCCTCCAACCACACTCCCCACAAGAACTCCTAAGGGATGCTTTAACCACAAAAGTTCCACATTAAATTTCACATTTAAGATGGAAAACATTTATCAGTATTCCAAAAAAGTGTCAGATCTCGTTATCCTGCCTTCAGGGAAAAACTGCTCCTAATGAGAAAGACCCACGAGTACTGAAAGCAATATTAAATATATTCCGTATTAAATGGGCATTTCTTTCTTTTGAGAGAAACCATGGCTCAGACCTCTGTGAGCCCTGCTGCTTCCAAAGACTACTTAATAGAGTTCTTAGCTGTCACTGTTCAGAAATCACAGTAGGCACGCCTTCTACGAAGTGCAGTGCGCTCTGCTCACAGCCAAAGCACTGAGCCATGGGGGGGGGGCTAATGCAACAAGGGGAGTAGAAGCCTAAACCATACTCCAGTATTCACTGAAATCACAGGCTGGACGTAGCTAAAGATGAAACGCTGGGTTAAGCTGATGAAGCTTATCTCATTTTGAGCAAAATTGTAAGCTTGAACTATATCTAGTTAAATACAAAGAATACAGTTCTTATGATTCTTCTTAGAACCCAAATCCTTTAATACTCTCTTCAATTTTCTCTCTCTCTCTGTATGTATGTATGTATGTATGTATGTATGTATGTATGTATGTGTGTATGTATGTATGTATGTGTGTACATCTGTGTGTCTTGACCCAGGGCCTTATGAATTCATGTTTAACCTAGTGGTCTATGATTTAGCTGTTTCCAGCCTCTTCACCCAATGCTTTTAGGAAAAAAGCTTTGCTATTATACTTCAATTAGAACTTGATCTGAAAAAATAAAGTGCAGCAGTGTTTGGAAGGATTCAGGACAGGGAGTCTGAAGAGTCACACTTCCTGACACTCTCGAGGTAGCTTGTTAAGTTTCTTTGTGATGTGGGAGTGTCATATATCAATCTGTTGATTTCATTGGTTAAGTAATAAACCAACTGCTTGGCCTCATAGCTTAGAACATAGATGGGAGGAGGAAACAGAATAGAATTCTGGGCGGAAGAGGAAGTGAGGTCAGACTCTGCTCTGCTTCAGGAGAGACGCCATGCTCAGCTCTGCCGGATAGACACGATAGCTCTGCGCTCTGAGGCCAGGATGGACGTAGGTTAGAATCTTCCCGGTAAGCGCACCTTGGGGTGCTTACACGCATTATTAGAAATGGGCTAGTCCAGGTGCGAGAATTAGCCTGTAAGGGCTAGAGTTCATGGGCCAAGCAGTTCCTAAATGAATACAGTTTGTGTGTTGTTCCTAAATGAATACAGTTTGTGTGTTGTTATTTCGGGCATGAGCTAGCCAAGCAGCCGGGGTGTTGGGGACGCAGCCCCGCCGCTCATATTACAACAACTTTGTTTACGATACTTAACAGTGTCAGTGGAACACACACCCTCTAACTCCATATCAGCTTTACAATTCTGTTTCTCCCCACACGGTCGCACAGAGAATCTACCATATAGTAGAGACTGACTGAATAATGAGCCCCCAACACAGACATCAAAGTTTCAGGAGTTATACCTAGTAAACAGAGGGAGGAAGATATGTCAGTATAGTCTAAATGCAAGACTCTGAGGCATGCCAACATTTCTATGTTTCTTGTCACCATCAAAACTCCAATGTATGACTTGCTGCTTTTCTCTGGGAGAAACATAGTTTATTCGCTTTCTGAGCATTTTATACATGTATACAACACATCTTGATCATGATCTTCCCTTTCCCTCCCTAACTCTGCCCAGATCCACCCCCTTTGTAATTTTTTTCCCAAGAATGATTATGATACAAGGAAATTTCAGGATATTCTATCTCCAATAGCTGTGGGTTCTATCTCCACAACCAATAATGAATTGCACAAACTGGGTCTATTGACATGGGGTCTATAATCCCAGCTACTTGGGAGGCTGAGGCAGGAGGATGCCAAATTTAAAGGCATAATTCAGACAAAGCTTACAAGGAGCTGTGAGCTGCCTTTCTCACCATCTCCTGAGACTTTTCTCCTGACTGACACAGGTGCTTAATTTCAGTACCTGTGAGAACATTCCTGACAGAAGGAAGTCAATAGATGTGTCAAGTGTATATTAAATATACTGCTTTCCTATAAAACAACAGAATGTGACATTACAAGAAACACAGTATCTGCCAAATTGATGTCCTCACTGCTTGCAAATTCCATAGACTAAACAGTTTCAATGCAACTAATACAATCACACACATACCCCTCCCCACACACTTACTTTCAGGGGTCATAAACTTTTGCACACTATTTACCAGGTGACTAATCTATGAAATGAAGTCACAGTCATAATAGTGACCACGAGAACTGCGGTGAGAATCAACAAACACGTTAGACTTTAACACTGTGATAAGCTTTCTCTTAAGCTCAAAAATGAAGTTTATATTTACCTAAAATTGAGTTCTTGTGCCAAGCATGATTTAACAAA